GGTAGTCTTGCAAACCCCATTTTGCAGATGAGGAAGCTGAAGTACCAGGAGATTATCAACTTGGTCAAGGGTAGGCAGCTATTAAATAGTGGATCCAAGCTTCAAACACAACTGTCACACTCCATGAGCTTATGCTCTTAATCATTATACTATACCTACCCACCTTAATCATTATGCTATACTATACTATACCTACCTAAAAGTATATACCACCTGTTTTAAGGAAAGAATTCATAAACAAAAATCATTTTTATTAATTTGCAGTAGAGGATATTCATTTCCAGGGACTAAAAGATCAGTACCAAAACATCAAATAAGGGAAGTCAACGGTCTTGAGCAGTAATCTTTAAGTACAGCTGAGGGCTGGCTAATAACATAGGTTCTCTCCTAAGATAGTGCTGAATGAACTGCTAAACTCTATCCAAGCCAGTCTAGCTCTTTCTAGTTAAGACAACAGGCTGACCAAGTCCCTTTCATTGATATTCTTTCTTTAGATAAGGAACAACATAATTGAACTGGGGTTTGATGGTTTTACAGTTCCACACTTTTTAATACAATCAGGTATTCCTCAGAAAGCCTCATTTTTCCTAGATTGTTTTATACTCCTAAACCACCCATTTAGGTAGTATTTGTATCAGTGGCTCACTCTTGCATCACATTTTCACTCTTCCTAGTTCCGCCCTTTGAGGTTGGTGAAGGCACAGGCGTTCTTAATGAGCCACTGTTGCTCCCTCACCCCCATCTTCACACTTCAGTACTGATCATAGTCCAGTTCTTGGCTAATGAAAACTTAATTTCTTTATACAATATGAAAGAATTATAAACATGATTCTGAGAATTTTTCCTTCCTAAAATTTTGTAAGAGCATTCTAGAGGGAATTGAAGATTATGAAATGTCGAAAAAAGAAAAGCAAATTGTAGTTGAATATAGCTGTTTGGACTGACCCACAGTACATATACATATATATATACAGCAGATATATAAATACGTATGAAAAGACTAGTGTTTAGAAGTACAGACTATTTCTTTACATTAAAAATAGATACAGGGGCACCTGGGTGGCTCAGTTGGTTAAGTGACTGCCTTCAGCTCAGGTCATGATCCTGGAGTCCCGGGATCGAGTCCTGCATCGGGCTCCCTGCTCGGCGGGGAGTCTGCTTCTCCCTCTGACCCTCCTCCCTCTCATGCTCTCTATCTCTCATTCTCTCTCTCACAAATAAATAAAATCTTAAAAAAAAAAATAGATACATGTGCAAAAGGTCTAAATTTGTTTTTGTTTTAAGGTTTTCACATATAAGCTAAAATAGTGACAATGATTTAAAAGTGAAACTACAATGGAGAAGAAAATAAGAGAGTAAACTTTTTCTTTAATGCTTCTCTGGAAAAACTGAATCTAGGAAATGCAGATAAATTTTGAAAGCTGCTGTAAAAGGATTAAGAATTAACCCACCCTCTCCTAAACTAATAATAAATCAATATTTAACAATAGTAGTATATCAATAATTACTTAAAAATTTCATATTAGGGGCGCCTGGGTGGCTCAGTTGGTTAGGCGACTGCCTTCGGCTCAGGTCATGATCCCGGGGTCCTGGGATCAAGTCCCACATCGGGCTCCCTGCTCAGCAGGGAGTCTGCTTCTCCTTCTGACCCTCTCTCCCCTCATGCTCTGTCTCTCACTCTCTCTCTCTCTCAAATAAATAAATTAAAAATCTTTAAAAAAAAAATTTCATATTAGGAAATCTTAGAATATTCGTTGAATTAAGTAGTTTTATATTCCACTTCAATCTGGGGAGGTGATCTTAATTTAACTCAATGCTATAGGCAGAAATTTATGTGGCTGAAACTGATTTCAAAAGAATCAGTGGGAATAAAAGTACTCTGTACAATAATATCTCCCTGATTTGGATTGACATTTAGTGAAAAGAATTCGTTATGTGTTCTTAGAGAAAGAGTGTACAGTAGAATAGTGTATGGAAATACCATGCGGAACTATTGTTTTTTCATGGTACCAGCCTAGAATTGGCCCTCCTCTAATAGAGATAAAAACCTGTAGTTAGCTTATCAAAGCACCTGTCTCTAGAGAGGTAGGCAAGCCAGTCGGGGTTTATCCCTTTTCCTTTAATGTGCTTGAAAGCAGTTTGTTATAAGTTGGAAAACTGCTTCTTTTAATATTTTTTACAGTATTACATCCTTCAAAATTCTCTTTAGTACAATAGACTTTGTATACAAAGACAAAAAACATTTATTGAGGCCTAATAGTATACTAAGTACTATCTTTCAATAAATTACTTATGCTTTGTGCAACAACACTTTTCATAAGTGTTTTTTTGGTTTTTTTTTTTTGAGAGGAGGAGGGAGGGGTAGAGGGAGCGAGAGAATCTTAAGCAGGCTTCTCACCCAGTGTGGAACCTGAAGTGGGGCTTGATCTCACAACTCTGAGAGCATGACATGAGGTGAAATCAAGAGTTGGATGCTTAATAGACCAAGCCACTCAAGTGCCCCCATAAACTCGTAATAGAAGAAACTCAAATTAGTGAACCTTTACAGAACTGATACTCTGTCTTCCAGGAAGTATATAAAAAGATCTTTATCAATAAGTCAAACAGAGAAAGACATGTATCATATGATCTCACTGATATGAGGAATTCTTAATTGCAGGAAACAAACTGAGGGTTGCTGGAGTGGGGGGTGGGGTGGGAGGGATGGGGTGACTGGGTGATAGACACTGGGGAGGGTAGGTGCTCTGGTAAGTGAATTGTGCAAGACTGTTGAATCTCAGATCTGTACCTCTGAAACAAATAATGCAACATATGTTAAGAAAAAAAAAGAAGAAGAAGGTAGCGGGAGGGGAAGAATGAAGCTGGGGAAATCGGAGGGGTAGACGAACCATGAGAGACGATGGACTCTGAAAAACAAACTGAGGGTTCTAGAGGGGAGGGGGGTGGGAGGATGGGTTAGCCTGGTGGTGGGTATTGAGGAGGGCACATTCTGCATGGAGCACTGGGTGTTATGCACAAACAATGAATCATGGAACATTCATCTAAAACTAATGATGTAATGTATGGGGATTAACATAAGAATAAAAAAAGAAAAAAAAAGATCTTTATCAATTAATCCTTTGAGAAGAACCCAGTTAAGTGGAAAACAAAAATCAATAAAACTAAAAGGAGAACTGGGATGCCTGGGTGGCTCAGTCAGTTAAGTGTCTGCATTCAGCTCAAGTCATGATCCCAGAGTCCTGGGATCAAGTCCCACGTCGGGCTTCTTGCTCAGCGGGGAGCCTGCTTCTCCCTCTGCCTGTGGCTCCCCCTGCTTGTGCTCTCTCTCTGACAAATAAATAAATAAAATCTTAAAAAAAAAAAACCCTGAGAACAAATATAACATATCCTATAGAACTTCTATTTTCTTGCTAGAATTTTTTTGCAATGGATGTATTCCATAATTTGATAAATCTGAAAAAAAAATGTGTATGAATTTGTAACATTGTCAAGAGAGGATTCCTACTTCACCAACTACCTATACATCATGTGCAGTTTACAGATGAGAAACAGAGAGATACAAATATCTAAGGACTTCATCTTTCTTTTTTTTTTTTAAAGATTTTTTTTTTTTATTTATTTATTTGACAGAGACAGAGAGAGCAGGAACACAAGCAGGGGGAGTGGGAGAGGGAGAAGCAGGCTTCCCGCTGAGCCGGGAGCCTGATGTGGGACTCGATCCCAGGACCCTGGGATCATGACCTGAGCCGAAGGCAGTCGCTTAACCAACTGAGCCACCCAGGCGCCCAGGACTTCATCTTTCAAGTGCAACAATTCCAACTCATATATTCCAAGTATTTATGGTGTAATGTCTTTTTTTGTATGTGTGGCTGGTGAAAAAGAAGTTAAATCTGTATTTGTAGACTTCGTGTTTCGCAAATACAGTGTATAAAATCAAAGCTGAAAAGTATAGCATAGGAAATATAGTCAATAATATTGTAATAATGTTGAATGGGTGACAGATGGTGACTACACTTATGGTGAACATAGAGTAATGTAAAGAATTATTGAAACACTACGTTGCACATGTGAAACTAACATTGTCAACTATACTTAATAAAAATAAAAAATAAAATCAAAACTGAATTCAAAGCGATTCTATCTAAAGAAAAGGTTTACATTTATTTTATATAGAGAATGGCTGAGCTGCAAGGCTGTTACTAAGACAACTTAAAGTCCCAGTCCTCAGGATAAGTTATTAGTGGATGAGATGTGTTACTACCATACACAGCAGAAAGCACTAGAGAGGAAGCTCAAGTAAGTCTGTGCTTCAAATGCAAATAATTTCATCATTGCCACTAGCTAGAATGCTTTAAGGATTTAGGGTTTTTGCACAATTTCATAACCGGAAAACGAAACAAAACTCTATTCCTTTGTCCCCCAAGAACTCGTACGGTGTTGGAGAAAATTGGTTCTGAAGGGGCCGGAGGGTCGGTGCAGTCCCTGGGGGCGTCACTCTTTTTGAGGCCCAGGGTGCAGTGACCACTACTCAGAATGGCGGGGTTCATGGAGTGCTCACCCTGGCCAAGCTCCCGATTACCTCTGATGAGCCCCAAAGATGACTGAGTATCAGTCTAGGCCGGGTCCCCCAGCAGAACGGCGGCGGCAGCTGCAACATCAGCGGTTAAGTTTTACAGCCTTTCATAAGGCCGGTCTAATGTACCTGTAGTAAGATTACTAGAGCTGAGGGTCCCTAGATTGGGGGAAATGAAAGGGGGGAGGGAGAAGGGGAGGAAAATGAGGAGGGTACAGGAAAAGGGGGAGGGGAGGGGGCGGGACACCGCGGGGAAGTCCACAGGTTTACAGGCGAGGTCTGTCGTTCCCATGGAGACGTATCCCTCCGCCCGCGCCTAGCGTCTTAGCCTCTTCAGTTCCCTCCGCGGCGCTTCTCCACTGTTTCCGCCCAGCTCCTTTGTGCCGCGCAGAACGTCGAAGTGACGCATGCGCAGAGAGACACAGCCGCCGCATATATAAACGCGAACCCAGCCTCTTCCTCGTAGTGCCGCCGGGACCGTTGGCTGCTGAGTAGGTTTCGGAGCTTTTGTATTCCTCGCTCCCTGGGTTCTGCGAGCTGCAACAGCCGAGCTCGCGAGCCAATCATCATGTCGCGTTACGGGCGGTATGGAGGAGGTAAGAGGCCAGGGCCCGGTAAGGGACGTTGCTGTGGATGTAGTGAGTATTGCGAGGCCGTGGGGTTTGGCGCGGCGGTTGGGAGACGGTTATTCCGCGTGCGTAATGGCGGCTTCGGCGCACACCGTACGAAGCCGGAGGCCGCGGGGGCGGGGTATCGAGGGCAGCCGGGGGATGGCGGGTGCAGGTCTGTGGTGGGTTCCGTATTCATTCTTGGGCGATTTCGTTTCCCACCACAGCCCGAGGCAAGCCCACGATCACTGTTTCCCTGTTGCCCTTCCTCGAGGCGCCCGCCTGCCCCCCCGTCCCCCCCCCCGCTCTCGGCTGCCATTTTGCGCACATTGACGACCATGGTGGCGCATTTCCTTGGCGCTTTCCCGCCACTTTAGCAGACAGATGTGGTCGCAGCCGTAAAATCAGGGGTGAATTTGAGACTGAACAAAAGTGTGGCAGCTTCGAGCTGCGCATTCTCGTCAGACAATCGGTCGAATTGAGGAGTGGGAATGGAGACATAATCTTTTCGTCTGGCGGCTGGTTTCTTTTCTCTTTTAGCTCTTTCGAGCGCGGTTTATGGCTCTGGGGCGGGGAGCTGGAGTCTGGGCGAGCCTGCGCCTGGGGCGGTTGCCGCGGAGGACGAGAGCCGGCGCAGCCCCGCTCTCCCGGTCCGGCCCCTGCCGGGGCCCGCCCGCTACCGACGCTGCCGGCCCGCGCGCTCCCCGCGCGCCCGGGGCCGCCGGGACTCGGGGGCGGGGCCGGGGCGGAGCCCGCCCCACGCCTCGGAATATCCTACCACGTGTCTGTGCTTCTGTTTTGGAGGTCGTTTCCTTATTAGAATGTAAAAGTCTTTGTCATACACCTGGCTTTTCAAAATGTATGAGCTTTGCTGGTTTTAAGGCTAAAGTAAATGTTTGATAAAGCTTTAAACGTGCTTTGCACAGGATTAAGGATGGCCTGTTTGGGGCACAGAATTCACTCAGACTTAGGCAAATTTTGCATAACATGCATTGTTCTATTTGCGTTTTTAAACAGAAACCAAGGTGTATGTTGGTAATCTGGGAACCGGTGCCGGCAAAGGAGAGTTAGAAAGGGCTTTCAGTTATTATGGTCCCTTAAGAACTGTGTGGATTGCGAGAAATCCTCCAGGATTTGCCTTTGTGGAATTTGAAGATCCTAGAGATGCAGAAGATGCAGTGCGAGGCCTGGATGGGAAGTAAGTAAGATGGTGGTTGTGAAATTGACGTCTATTAGAATATTCCTGTGGGCTGGGTAGTGAGCTAGGTGATAAGCTTGGATTCTGTAGTCTGGAGGAGACTAAATAGCCAATCATAATTCTGTATATTTAAGATATGAAGGGATGCAAAGGTGGAGTTGGAAGGGTTTATAAAGATAGCTGAAGTTTGTGAGGGAGAAGAGTGGTTGGAAAGTTCTAAATCTAGAAGTGATGTGTATTCTTAGCATTAGAATTTTGTTGATTCTCTTTTATAGGGTGATTTGTGGTTCCCGAGTGAGAGTTGAATTATCAACAGGCATGCCTCGGAGATCTCGTTTTGATAGACCACCCGCCCGACGTCCCTTTGATCCCAATGATAGATGCTATGAGTGTGGCGAAAAGGGACATTATGCTTATGATTGTCATCGTTATAGCCGGCGGCGGAGAAGCAGGTATTTATTTTAATAAGAGAATGGTTGGTATACTAGTTAATCAAGTAATTTTTTTATTAGCAAGGCAGAAACTAGTATTTTTCTATAAACTTGAATGTTAATTGTACAGGTGTATTTTACAATTTTTGTTTAATTAAACAAATGTTAATATATTAATAATCAACCTGGTCAAAACCTTTCAGGTTTCTTCGTTTGAGTCAGTCGCCTTGATTCAGAATGTCACGAGCCTTATGATATCATGCTGAGGCGCCTTGCAAATCCGACAATTAAGATCCTCCTAGACCTTGAGGTGATCAGCATAAGAGGCCAGATCCCCTCGAGTCATCTACACCTAGCTTCACCTTATTCTTTAAAGGGCAGAAAATTTGAGACGGTGATCGCCGTAACAGTAAATTTGGCTTACAATTGGGGCCCCCTCCGGTTTAGAAAGAGGAACACCAGATTGACCACATTCCCAACTAGAAAAATCTTCTTGCGTCAATCAAGCCTCACCTGGCTCATTTGGCTGTCAGTTTGATCGTCGTTAGATTGAAGAAAACATCTAGATGCAGCGATCGGCTATAGATACTTCTAGATCGTCTAGATCTACTAGACCATGGGCCAAAGAGGGTCGACCTGCAAACTTGCAAGGTTTATTTTAAATACACATTACAGTGTTTTATATTATGTAATTCTAAGATGTAATTCAGCTTTTAACAAATCTTTTTTTAGGTAGTAAAAAAAAAAAAAAAAAAAAAACTAATAGGCCCAGAGTTTATTTCCAAATGAGACACTAAATTTAAATAGTTTTGAGATTTGATTTCAGCAGAGGCACACAAACTCTAAAAACGAGTTACCATCTAACATTTTCTTTTTTTCTAACTTAAAAAAATAGGTCACGGTCTAGATCACATTCGAGGTCCAGGGGTAGGCGATACTCTCGCTCACGAAGCAGGAGCAGGGGAAGGAGGTGAGAAATACTGCTTAATTTAAGCTTTAACAAGTGATAAACTAATTGGACATAAGACTTAAACTTAGATTTATGTTTTAGATCAAGATCAGCATCTCCACGACGATCAAGATCAGTGTCTCTTCGTAGATCAAGATCAGCTTCACTCAGACGATCTAGGTCTGGTTCTATAAAAGGATCGAGGTATTTCCAGTATGTAACACTTTTTTTCCCTTATTTGTATTTGGATTGTCACGTCTTAATGACTGCACTTTAAGACAATGAGTGTCTTAAAGACATAATTGAAATGGATTGCTTCAGAAAATATTTTTTTGAGACCTAAAAGTTGAATTTCTACATGACCTGTAAATGGATATTACCGTAATTATACAGATAAAGAAAAGCCCAATCAGAGATTTTTAAAGGCTTGAGAGGCTATGGTAGAGGATGGTCCAAAGCACAAATCCTCAAGTCATTCCAGTGAACACTCCGGGTAGACATTGAACTCTAGTAAGATTATGTCTGTCTAGATAAATGATGCTACCTTTAAAAGGTGATAATTTCTGGATCTCTGATAAGGAGGCCCATTAGAACGAGTAGGATAGGGTGCCTGGGTGGCTTAGTTGGTTAAGCGACTGCCTTTGGTTCAGGTCATGATCCTGGGGTCCCAGGATCGAGTCCCACATTGGGCTCCCTGCTCAGTGGGGAGTCTGTTTCTCCCTCTGACCCTATTCCCTCTTGTGTACTCTCTCTCAAATAAATAAAATCTTTAAAAAAAAAAGAATGAGGAGGATACTTAGAAGCAAGTTGAAACATAAAAATTTCTCCTTTTTTGAATGATGGGTGAATTTGAGACCATGGGAAGTTGTTTACAGTAGTAGTGTACCTGTGGGTGAATGTAGGCTGTTTTTAACCAGAGACTTACACTGAAATGTAAGAAATTCAAAATCAAACTACGAACCTTATTTTTTTTTACTCCTTTTATAGAAGTCTTTTAAAGGTGATAGAAATGGTTAAGATTCTAGAAAATGAAGAGTTGGCAATACTAGAGTTGAGTCACTAGTAGGGAATGCCACTGGGAGTTAAATAATAGCACAAAATCTCTAAATGCAGGGATTCTAAAATTTTAATGCACTTGAGAAAGCTTTGGACTCTCTAGATGAGTGCATTGCAGGACACCAATTTGTGTATTTTAGAGCCAGATTTAGTTTGTATGACAAATTGATGGTCCTGAACTATGAAAGCTTGTTAATGATCTTAAGAATAGTCTTTAAGACCCAGTTGTGACTTTCTACTCACTTACCACCAGCAGAATTGAAATCTCTGTTTAGGGGTCTGTGTGATGTTGTTTTGATTTCTTTAAGATAAAAATAAACCAAACCATAGTAGTCTTAAATGAAAACCATTTTTTATTTCTCTTGGATACTGTATGCTCGAAGATAATGTCATACCTCTCTTCAGGAACTATGACAATCAATCCAGATCAATGAGTATGATAGAACCAAGTAATTGAAGTGGTGGTTCTTACTGAAAGTGTCGTTTGTCCAGTCATAGGCCGATAGAAGAAGAGTTGTGTCTTGCTTAGTTTTTTTTTTTTTTTTTTTTTTTTGGTAATACTTCATTAAAAAACTTTTAGGGGCACCTGGGTGGCTCATCGTTACATGTCTGCCTTCGGCTCAGGTCATGATCCCAGGGTCCTGGGATCGAGCCCTGTATCCGGCTCCCTGCTCAGTGGGAAGCCTGCTTCTCCCTCTGCTTGTGTTCCCTCTCTCACTGTGTCTCTCTCTGTCAATTTTATAATAAAATCTTGTAAAAAACAACACAATTTTTTTAATCTTTACACCCAGCGTGGGTTCTTAACTCCTAACCCCCTGAGATCAAGAGTCACACACTTCCTACTGAGTCAACCAAGCACCCTGTGTCTTGCTTAATTTTAGTTTCTCTATTCTTAGTTTACCTAATAAAAGTGCTCAGTAGGTGTTTAAAGAGATTATTCCTATGAACTAATTGGTATAATTGTTTTTCTTTTTATTAAGATCACGGTCGAGGTCAAGATCAAGATCCAGGTCTCTCTCACGACCACGAAGCAGGTAGGGTAAAAATCTGAAGAATGCTCTTCTAGTTATATGGCACCAATATCCAAAGAGTTCAAAGTGTTTTGAATTGTTGAAATTTCAAGTGTTAACTTTAAGCTTAGGTGTTAGTGGAACGCAGTACCTTCTTAGTAAATCAAACTTTAGAACTTCCATTTATACGTGGCCTATTGTGGCTGACTTCCTGGACAAGAAAATGTCAAGCTGTAGTGAGAAGTTTCTGGCTTTGGGGTTACATGAAGAGGCCTTGTTAGAACTGATGGGCTCATGGAGAAGCATTCTGAGATAATTGTGCTTAAAGCAGATGTAAAGATTGTGATGCAGTGAAGCAGTTCACTCATTTTATGAAGAACAGTTGTTGGAAGATTGGCTTTTGTTTGCAAAAACTGCAAGGCTCTTTCTCAGTTTAATTGTGGCCTGACCTTTTAATTTTAAGCTCAGGGCAACTTTGGGGGTTCATTTCATGATACTGTGACTATAAGAAAGGGATTGGTTAGTACTTTTTCTTAATAGAATTTCTCATGTTTTGACAGCCGATCAAAGTCCAGATCTCCATCTCCAAAAAGAAGGTAAGCTAAATAATTTGTTGCCAAATCTTAACTGTCAAGTGGCCTCTGCAGAATTTGTTTTGCTTACTGCTTACTTTGCAGGCTTTGAGCTCTTTGGAGAATTGGTGCTATATATATTACTGTATACTAGGTTTCTTCGGTGATTGCTTTTCCTACTTCAACATTAGTTTGTATTTTTGGTAGATATTTAGTCGTAAAATGTTACAGTGATTATTAAGATGTTTAGTGCTGTGAACCTTTAACTGTATAATTTCATGTTAAGAAACCTTTTTCCTCCACATGAGACGATAGGTAAATGAAGTACCCACATGAAGGAAAAACCTCCCAGAATTCAAATAGTTCTCTCGCAGTTATAGCAAGGTGGCTATTAAACCTAATCTTAAGCGGGGACAAAGGATTTGTATGTAAATCTTCTGATTTTTAGCTTTCTGCCATGAAGTACTTTTGGCCACCTTTGAGTTTATTGAAACTGAGTTTTGCCCTGACATGTACACGAGAAGAGTAAATTTCAGTAAGTACTAATCAGTGCCGAACTTAAATTTTTTTTTTTTTTTTTTTTTTTTTTAGTCGTTCCCCATCAGGAAGTCCGCGAAGAAGTGCAAGTCCTGAAAGAGTGGACTGAAGTTCTCAAGTTCACCTTTTAGGGAAAAGTTATTTTGTTTACATTATTATAAGGGATTTGTGGTGTCAAAGTGTAACCTAGGAAGGGTATTTCAACCATCTAATCAAAATGGATCTGGATTGTTACTCTGTAAATTCACAGCAGTAAGATAATATAAAATTTTTGTTGAATGTATTAACATCCTATGGTCTGAAAATGTGGGTTTTTATTTGGCACATTTAAATAAAATGTTTCTAACTAGATTTCTGATTTGTGTTCAATATTCAGTTTGTTAAGCTTCAGGGGTAAACCTTGATATTAACCATATTCATACAGACTTAGCATTTCAAAGTTTAATGGTGTTGAGTCGTCAACGTCATTAGCTGTAGTATACATACACTTTGAAAATTCGTTTTTATCCTTAGAGCTTTGGGTGAGATAAGAACTCAAGTCCCCTTAATAGCATAAGTGTGTATGACAAGTTCCTACGTTAATCTTTTGGAGTTGGTGGTGTTAGATACCAAGCTCTAATCTCAATCTGTCAACCTAGAGGGACCAGTGATTCTGAAGGCTATTTAGTTAAGTATAGTAACTGAGGTTTTCAGGCTATTAGATGGGATGGTGTCAAACTAGAACTCCTGATTTTATTAAGTTCTACCCAATGTTGTGTTGTTTTTTCAACATTTTATACCACAACTTTTGCATGTTTGAGGAATTGTCTGAATTTGGGACAAAACATCTTCATGTAAACCAGCTTTGCAAAATTTTCCAGTCCGGATAATCTGTCTCTTGAAATGGATTGCCATATTCTGAGCAGAGATCTGTTAATTCCCAATCTAGGTTTTTCAGTTTCTGACTACCAACATCTTATTTTGCCAGGCTGGTGCAAAAGTAATTAAAGATGTCAACCAGAAATGTTAATGAGACTAAAGCAGTTTTGTAAATCTCACCACATTTAGCAACACCTTATGTAGTTGTTTTGGTAGCATCTGGTAGATCTTAGAATATAGCCAGTAGATTCTTTATTGAGACTTTATCTTTAGTAGGGCAATAGTAGTTAATTTTGAGTTTTCTGGTCAAGCTTTTACCAGGTATTCATTAGCATTGGTGCAAAAAAGCAGAATACTGGTCTGCATCAAATTTCATTTGGTCTGATCACTAGTGCGTTGAAAGATTGGATGCTTTGTTTTCAGAATTTTGACAACTGGCTGAATTATAATGGTGTAAAGCTGTATAATTGGCAGGCTTATTTGTTCCACTTGGTCAGCTTTAATTGTTCTGTATTATATAAAGATAAGTTCACTTAATAAATCTGCAGAGAACAAACAATCCTGATATCAATTTTTGGAAGTGGGAGTTCTGAGCCAAGAGTAGGAATTACATGTAGCTTGGGGATGGATTGCTAGCAGCATCCTAGAGATTAGTACAAAAGGATGAGAAGGATATAGAGGAGGGTAGGGGCAAAAATGGGTTTAAGAAACCAGCACAGAAAGTTTTGCCCTTAATGAGATTCGGGAATGCTGGGTATCTAGGTTAGTACCTTTCACGTGCTCGACAGCAACTACTTCTGTGATTAGTATACATCTTAAAATGATAACACTTTGATGCAGTGTACTTTTGTTTACAGTTAAAGATGTTAGGAATGCTAAATTTTATGTGACTGGATAAGTGCTAGTCTAGGCTCATTCCTTCTAAATTTTAAACCTGGCACTACCTGGTAGCTAATTAAACACATCAGACACAGTACTTCGGACATAAAATCTTATTTTGGTCCTCTCACCTACCGAGAGGTGTTGAAAGCTAGGTAATGCATACCCCTGACTTCACAGTGATAGTTTTCCTTTTGACTTGGAGCTAGGCTAAGTATTGAGTGAAAGAGGTCCTACCACCTTGCCATGTTCCCTCCTGAGGATGAAGGAAATCTGAGGGAGTTTGGAAACACCATCAAACTGAGAATTGGTTAAATGAATGGTATGGGATTGTGATTTCTCCTTTGTGTAGCCTATCTTGAAGTCTAAAGAGCATGGTGATTTCCAAGATAATATTGAAGTGGGAGCTCTTAACAGCTTGGCAAGGAGTAATCAGAGTGAAGAGTAATAGCAAAGAATTCATTAGATCTGGCTCTTCTTGAGCAGCCGTTATTTGGAGGCCTTTGGAAGGGAGGGCTGTACAACCTCGATGTAAATAATTGCTTAGCTGGAAAGACATGATGGAGTAAAAGTCGAAGTAACATACTAGGGGCCTGGCTGGTCTTGGAGTATTTGGAGGGTGGTGAAAACTGGTGACAAGCCAAAGAAATGGGTGCAGGTGCCTAGGTTTAAGGTATGGTAGTATTAAAGCTGTTCTATCCAGAATTATCTCAAGGGACGGTGGCAGGGAAACACCAGTAGGCAGCTTTAAAGCCAGATAGGTTACTTTTTCCACACCTTAGGGGTTTCCTGTTACCATTCTAGTAAAAATACCAAAGGACATTTGTCAATGCCCACAACAATAGTGCTGTTAACCCCATCTCGCAGAAGAGGAAATGGGTTCAGAAAGATTAATACTGTACTATTATCCTGTTAGGAGGTAGGAAACGTTTGAATCCTACATACCATTCCAAAGCCCTTACTTTTTTTTTTTTTTTAAGGATTTTATTTATTTTGACAGCACAAGCAGACAGAGCAGCAGAGGGAGAGGGAGAAGCAGGCTCTCCGCTGAGCAGGGAGCCTGATGCGGGGCTTGATCCCAGGACCCTGGGATCATGACCTGAGCCGAAGGCAGATGCTCCAACCGACTGAGCCACCCAGCCACCCAAAGCCCTTACTTTTCTAATCAATAAAGCACCTTATGGCCCCTTTAAAACAAAACCATATGGGAAAATCAGAAAATACAATCTATGATTCTACCCATTGTAGATTATGCCATTGCTAATAATTCGGCTATTTTCTTTCCAGTCATAATGAAGAAAAGATGCTGGATAGAAGGATAACAAGCATGTGGAAGGCAGTAGCCAATTAACTGTTAACGCCCTCAAGGCCAGTTCTCAGATCTAGTGCTTTTTCCCTTTCCCATAGGCCATTGGTCCAACTTATTTTCCATTTTATTTCATTTTTTGACTTGGTAATATATATTCAAAGTGTGTACAGTAAGAAGGCTCCCTACCCCTAACTCAGCAGCACAGTTCTCTCCCCAAAGGTAACCACTGTTACCAATTATATAGCCTGAGGAAATATACATAGATATTTTCTTCTTTTTCCTTTTAACACAAAAGAGGTAGACCTTGTTTTTCTCACTTAACATTTTGGAGTTCTTTTATGTAGGTAAAAATGGCACGTCCTCATTTTTTTTATGTTGCATACTATTTAGTTCCTGGATATTGCATAATTTATGCAGGTAACTTTTGTGCCCCTTCAATGTGCCAGGTACTGCTAGCCTTGGAAAATAGGTGAACAAAGTCTGTCTTCATGGAGCTTAAGTTCTGGAGAGACAAATGAACAAACAGGTGGGTAATACCGTATATGCACAACCATGAAGCTGGGGGAGAGAGAGGGAGTTGGTTGGTGTTGAGTAAAGGGTATCTAAGGAAGGCCTCTGATGGTGACATTTGTGCAAGTGAGGGAGTAAGGTACATCAGCTCTGGGCAGAGGGCACAGTAACTGTGAAGGCCCTGAAGAGTTTTCAGTTGGGTAAGGAGGCCACTATGAAGTGAACAGAAGCGAGAAACGGGAAAAGATGGCATAGGAAGGGAGAGGGCTGTAGGACATAGATCATACAGGACCTTGTATACTTTGGAGAGTGCTTGCTTTTTTTCCACTGAGCATTTTTGAGCGGAGTTAACAGGAACTGAATCAGTTTCTTATCACCTGATAGGAGGGTTGTTTCTAATTAACTGTAACAATGCTGTAGTGAATCAATCACCTTGCACAATACATTACATGTGACCCTGCATATCTTGGATAATCCCTAGAAGTTGAATTGCTGGTCAAAGGATATGTGCATTTATATTTTTGCTAGATATTGTTAGTTTGCCCTGGTGACTAGGTATATGTCTGTTTCTCTCCTATTGTCTACGTGGTATACCTTGTGTAACATGGTGGGCTGTCACTTGTTAATTTTACCAATCTTGAGTTGGAAAATGGTGTCTCAGCATAGTTTTTTTTTAATTGTGGCAGAATGCATATTTTCCCCCTATTCTGGAAAGTTTCCACATATTCAAAAGTCTGGTTGACGTTCCCTTGCTCTCAACACCGTCAACTTCTATAGTCGCATTCCTATTCACACTGTAATTGCCTATTTACTTTTCTGCAGGTATGCTGCCAAAAGTCTAATTGGGACAGCATGTACCAGGCCTTATTCCATTTCCTCACTGCCTAGTACTTGATGAAGGAAAAGTTAGTTAATAGATGAATGAATGAATTCTAACCTATTAAACCAAGCATATAAAATTGGAACCTCCTCTCTTGTCTGAGACCTTTATAATCCCCATTTCAATGAAAAGTTCCCATTTCCTTTCAGCTACCTCTAAGACTGCCTCTGACCCTGTCTGACTCTGCCTGCAGAGGATCTGGATCCATAGGCCGCTGTTAATGTCCAGCTCCACTCTGCAGCTCTAGTGCAAGGTTTTTTTTCTCATTTGACTTAAACTCCCAAGAGTTCTCCTCAGAAAGGGTGTGGAAAATTTCTGTGCAGACAGTTCTCTGAGAAGGGTGGAGACTTACCTACCACTCCAAGAGCTGGTGAGCCCAGATGAGTCCGCCTATCCCATGTGAGAAACATAACGTCATTGGACCAACAGCAGCCATTTCATATGACTATCAGCTGCCTAAGGTTATATCCTATAATCCTATCCAGTTCTCTGCAGATTCCCTGGGTGGTTCTCGGTAACCAAAGCTTGCAGGAGGCTGAATGTGATCCTATAGGAAGACCTGTTAGTTTTTATTTTGGGTTGTAGCATATCTTGAAGAAATCTGGATTATAGAAAATGAATCTGTTCAATGCCAAGAATAAAAAATCTGGCTGTAAAGAAAATATATATGGCAGAGGTAAAGTTAGATGGGCTAGTTTATCTCAGTCATTGTCAAAACAACCATCACCAGAGTTCCTGGGCTCCTATAATAAGAACATACTGCCTTCTTTAACTAAGTATGGTTATACTATGCTTTAATGTTTATATTCTTTCAGAGTGCAGGCTGTTTAGACCAGGATTTAGGAAATGATGGCCCACAGGCCAAATCTGGCCCACTGCTGTTTTCATACAGCTAATGAGCTAAGATGGTTTCTA